TACGACCTTATGATAGAACAAAGTATTTTTCTGACAAGAAATAATGGAATTTTTCAACAATATGCACGGTTTAGAGGTCATTTTTGCTAATGGCATTTCAATATTAAAGATCTCACCTGACTACAGTAGTTGTAATATTTACTTAGGACATTAAAGTTTTTTAGCTAGACATAATCTCGGTATTAGAAGTAGAGACATGAATGAAGGCAACTTGTATAACTAAAAATTGAAGCACCTATTTCTTATCCCAAATAAAAATCTAATAATTCGTTTTCTAGCTTACATTTGTAAATAAGGTAGTTGACCTATTTACAAGCTTTATTTAAATATTGATATTCGATCTGATCCCTCTGCATGTATGTCATCTACGATAGACAATGACGATAATGTTCAGGAACTGGGTACGTTTGGGAACGGGACTTCGTACGTTCCAAAAGGTGTCACTGACGCTTCAACCAAGTTGCTAAAACAAAGTCGAACCAACACTATGTAGCTATAGGAGAATGCGACCAAACAGTAGGCCACACTAACTTGGTCTTCATATCAATGATGATCAAACTTTTAAATTAGTTTTCATATTTTTAAAAAATAAGTGAACTAAGAATTCAGGGCTCCAGCTTTAATAAACTTCTTAGTAAAAAGGCAATAAGAAGGATAAAGATAATTTTTGCTAAAATTTGGCTATCCAATCACAAATTTGGTTCAAGAGAGGTCCGCCCTCACGTTTCTACAGAACTATGACTCTGAGCTTTGAAGACCGATAGGAAAAGATAAGGAAGCAGCTATGATAAAAATAAGAAGTACAATTCCTTTAAGCTTCCTTATTTTTAGACCGACATTCTTTTCCTATATATATATATTGCTGATTATTTTAAATGTTGTATAGTGAAAAATGATATAATCGTACACCAGCATCAAGATTTAATAAAAGTTTTAACCGTATATACATATATATATGCTTGTGAAGATTGTGAACTGATAGCCGAAAGAGTTAGCGAGTTTCAAACTATGTTTGCACTGTGTATTTCCTTTGAGTAAACTTTTTCAAATCTTGATCTATGGTCGCTTTGAAAATTTTACTCAGGAAATAACATAACACATTAGCTTTTAGGCAAAAATCTCATAAAATTAAAGTCAAGTCGAAATAGCAAAACTAGTTTAAAGCCTTCAAATCTTCCACAAGGAGAAATGAGTTAAGAACTTTCTGAGAATTGCTAAACTCTAGCCTGTATATCATTGAGTCGAAGCTTAAAGCAGTTCAATCTCTATGCTAATTTAAAGCTTGCAGGGTATGATTTATTAAAAGTGAATATAATTTTGAGATGATAAGGTTAAAGCTCTGATGAAATCCTGATGCTGATGATCGTGAATATTATTTTTCACTATACAACATTTGAAATATGCAGCAATATTAAGCAAATATTCATCATTTGTGTAAATAATGAACTAGGCAGAATTTTTATAGCGCCCATTTTATATTTAGTCTTAGTATTATTAGTTATTAATTTTAAGTATAGGGTATTATTAAGCACTTATTATTAATGTTGTTATTAAGTTACTGGAATTAAATATTATATATATATATAATGTTAATAACATGTATTATGGTATAAAGGGAACTCGTATAACTATTTTTTTAAAGATTTTGATCAAATATTTGGCAACTTTCATCAGATTGAGCAAATCGCGATGTGCTGAACTGATAATCTTTGTCTATAAATCACATGTAAACAATATTCTATTTAAAAGTAATGAGACTTGTAAATTCATTCGTATAGCCAATGTTTGATGCCTCATTTCAGATTAATTCTAAACAATCCACTAGTTTTATCGGGACAAGTCAACGCACCAAATGACCCAAGGATTCAAGAGTTATCTTTTGATAGATTTTGTATGTTTGGACGCTTAGGCTAGTAGCTTTTATTTAGTTTTTAAAAACGGTATTTTTATCTAAGTGCCACCCACCACCCTCTTAGCTATTCAAGTAATGAGGTTTGTTTCGTTAAAAGGGTTGGAAAATTTGAAATCTTTGAGCATCAAAGTCATCAAAAAAACATTATTTCTGACGAATACTATTGCACAACTTTTATCCCATATCTTTAGGCGAAGCATTTTTTATCACAATAATAATTAATTAATTATACTCGTTTTTTTCAACTGCAATTTCATAAAAGTTGTTTGACCTTGCTATTGCAGCTTGGTCATATTGGCAGGAAGACCTAGAGGAACTCATCTTGTCCGGAGTCCATAGTATGTATGATTATTTCCAGAGTCGGACTTTGGACTTCGTACACTCCATAGTCCACGGGCCGACTCTGGAAATGATCATGACAAGGTGCATTCCTCTAGGTCTTCCTGTTAATATGACAAGATATCAGCAGTATGTGAATAATCGCCCCAGACTGTTTAAGAGAATTTAGGGTCCGTTAGCTGAATTATCCCACTCATCTCAATGTGGAAACTTTCCCATTCTCAGTCCTTAAATGACTTTTTCCTAAATTTTACACCGAAATTTGGTCAACAAAGTCTGCAGGCTTTTGGGGCATAGTGAGGTCTGGCGAAGCAAATTAATCTCCGTGCTACTAAAGCATAATAATAATAATAATAATAAAGATTAAATTCATTACTTTGCACCTTTTCTTTGATTACCATAGTCAATTCTGACATTTCCGATGACTTTATCGTCGTCCTCAAATTTTTCGGGTTATTTAATTTTTCTTTTGAAAAGACTACTTCACAATGTCTCTAACCCTCCCCTTTACATCCTTTCTTACTAAGAATTTATTTTTCTTGTTAGAAAGACCCTTATTATCCTCAAATATACCCACCTTTGGTCGCCATCTTCTGGTCTTGCTCACGCATCTTACTGGCACGATAGATTGCCTCAGCATGCTCCACCGACTCTACTGTCAGCAGCCGAAATAGATTAATCGCGGGTGTCGTAACAACTGCTAGTTCCTCTTCCTTCTCTGCTTCTCCTTCCAGCTCATCGCCCTTCTCTCCTCTGTTCGTGCCTTCATCTTCCACGTCCTCGGCTATACATGAATCTTCAACATTGCTTTCTTTTCGCTTTTGCTGATTTTTCCTGTTTCTATCCATACCCTTGATGCCGTCCCTCCTTCCTCGTGATTCTAATCTGCACGCCGGAGCCATTTCAGAATCACTTCTTCCACCCACGATTGCTAAGTTGATCTCACCTACCATTCTTTTGCTCGGCCCTACCTGGCAACCTACAGCATTCTTCTTTGCAGTCAGACCTTCCGAGGACTGGCGGTCCTTCCGTTGCTCAGCCGCAACAGTCTCTGAAAGAGTTGCGATGGGGACATTTTGGTTGGATTTAGACTTTATGCCACCACCAGCATGCCTATACATGTCACTATTGCGGTCATCCTCGCCGGCATTAGCATACTTCCGGGTGGAGTAACTATGCGGAGTTCTCACCTCTTCCGACGCACTGGTGTCGCGATGCCGACGGCGACGCTGGTTGGCAGAGTTGCGATTCACATTGCGACCATCGACATTCTGCTCGGGTGGGGAGATGGTACGACGCTCACGCTCCAACTGGCGACTACGAATTATTCGGTTCTGCATGCTAGCTCGCCTCGTCTGGACGTCCCTTCGTTGGCATATGCTGCCATTGAGCAAAAGGTCTTGGCTTTTAGATCTGTCATGAATTGCAGAAAATCAAATTAAAAAGTGAAAAAAAACTGCAATTTTAGGACCACGGCTCATAACAAACGCATGAGCTTTCGAAGCATTTAGCTAAACTTCACGATTTCTACATTCAACGTAAAATAATCTCAATCTAATTTTTTCTTTGTTTGGCCTATTTTTGAAGGTTGTTATCAAAATACAAACATAGCTGAAAGTTTGAATGTATGGACTAAAGGAGAAATTTTCCCCTATACGACTCAAAAACACCGGAATTAATTGTTGTTCACAAAATCAACTTTGCCACCAAGACAGACTATGTAACTAGGCCACAATATAACCTTTATTCCTATTAGACATTATAATTATGATATAGTAATTCGATGAGCTCAGAGGTCCTCAAGCGCTACCTTACAAAGTTTTGTTGGTACTCATTCACAGGTAATGAAGTACCGATAAAAATTAGGTTATGGGGCTAGGTTTAGGGCAATTTCTCATAGTCAATAATTTAAGGTGGGCATGTTGTACTGACCTCAATCTGGGTCATTATGGATGAGATTGTATAAAGAGAATATATTAATACATATTTTTTAATCCTATATCATCCTGAGCTTGATTTTTATGTCTTCGTTGGTTATTTGGAGTAAAGAGATACTGAATACAAAACTAATTCTGGAATAAAGAAAACAATACGGAAATATGTATATATAATATAAAGTAGATCAATCGGAATATTTAAGAGGTATGCATGTAAATCCTGGCCAATGTTTTAAGGATCTTGGAAAGC